AGACTAAACACTTCGTAGGTCTTCACATCGTATCGCTAAAGATGGCATATTTTTTCACTTCTTGCATTGGCGAGTTGATAGGAAAAATCCACTTTAGATATCTACTAAGAATAAGCGATTTTTATCGTTATTTAGTTCTCTAACTCACCTTTCATCACCAAAAGAACTACCCGAATCCACCATCTTTTGAACTCGTGGATACGCGAAGCGTAGAAACGAGTTATTGCGAGGGGTCTGAATATGCAAATGTGTCACTCGCTCGCTCGCTCACTAAGATGTTAGCAGATCGATAATTAAACGTGTACCGATCGACTTACGTCATCTCATTACGAACGTTACACGACACTAACAAGGACAGAGACAGTGGCAGAATTCTGCCAGCAAACCAAGGGAGCACATTAAAAATTTTGTTTGTGTAAGGAAAGGTATTGTTCTTGGTTGATTTATCTAGCGTGCGCAATCCATCATGTGACAGGCGTTCCTCGTAGTGTTTTGGTTTCGGCCGATCCGAATGGCTTACGATCGTGTAAGGAAGGGAATGACGAGTGTAATAGGAGGGAAGTGAAACAGTGGAAATTTTATCGTCCTATGCTCGTAGCAGATTGCTATGCACACAGGCGGTTGCTATGCACATTGATGGCTGGATTACACGTTCAAGTTAGAACGTAAGTACTTTTTCGAAACTAGAAGTCAGCTGAATTTATGAATTTACGTAACATGAGCGTATGAGTTTATGTTCAAGATGAACTGTCGAGTCACTCGTTTGAATGTTTTTGAAATCGTTAATTTGAATTTTGAATTTTTTTACAGAATAATCACTAGTTTATTTTCCGTATCTAATGGGGAAGCTATCAAAACTACAGAGGCATATTAAGTTTACGAGACCGAGTGTAACGAAAAAGGGCTAAAGCCATGTGATCAGGCAAACTTTTCAGCAGTAGGATTATTCTTTATTATGTTCACCAGTTCGTGAGCCGATTTTTTTCCTWACACGCCGGCGAAATAATGTATTGTCGATCCTCATATATTTTGAGCCGCAATGTCCGTTGATGAGGTGATAAAAACACCGCTTGCTCCCTTTCTCAACTCCTTTTATATATATCTAATTAAAAATGATTTTCCGCTTCCAGCTATTTCACTAATAAACACAGTAAAACCTTTTTCTACGAGATTAAAAACTTTGTTTTGCTCTTCGCTCAAGGACGCCATTTTGTTTGTTTTCATCTGTTTGACGTTACACATCATTTTTTTGAATTTGTCACGTAATCCGTTTCTATTGCTACCAGCATAGAGCGAAAAATATTTTCATTTTGGATTGTTTGATTGGCTGAAAAGAGTCACGTGGTTTACAGTTTCACTCCCCTCCCTTTTTACACGTCGCTCCGCTCCTCGCAAGAAATTCGTCGGTTTTCGGAGTAAATTCGCTAGCCC